ATGGAATATCTGCAACTTCTACGGGAAGGAAACTGAAAGAAAATGGTATGAACACCACCCAGACCCGGTTACGGAGATAGGACCTGTTACAATTCTATGGGACTACACAATAAATACTGACAGAACAATCAAGGCCGACCCGCCCAGACATTGTTATTAAAGACCATAAACAAAAAAGTGCCTCCTTATTGATATGGCAGTCCCTGCTGACTGCAATGTATCTTTGAAGATATTCAAAAAGCTGTCAAAATACAAGAACCTTGAAATAGAAATCTCAAAAATGTGGTATATGGGAACATCAACAATCCCTGTTGTAGTTGGAGCCCTAGGTCTGGTTGGAAATGATTGCAGTAGACTAATTGAAGGGATTCCTGGAAGTCCATGCCTCAAAGTGATACAAAAAATTGTTATGACAAGTACATCCCACACTTTACGAAGGGCTTTATCTATGTAATATATATATATATATATATATATATATATATATATATATATATATATATATATATATATATATATATATTGAGCGGTACACACACACACAAAAAGATGGATGAACAATATTTACACTTTGGATCAGAGTATTTGTAGGATCAAAGTTAGTCTCCCTTTGTCCCTTTCAAACTTATGCCTGGGATCAGCGTAGTATGTCTGTGCTACGAAAAGTTTTCTTGTGTTATATGATTGGTTGACTGATTTTTTTCAAGAATAAACAGTTGATGTATCTGGGGGCACGTAAACAAGAAAGAGGTCATAGAAAATCTGATATTCCCAGGACAGATTGAAGGTAAGAGGAATAGAGAAAAACAACGTATAACGTACTTAGTTAGGTTGAATAAATGGATGCCGAACATGATTTAGGAGAAATAACAGAAATAAAAAAAAAAAACTTATTAAGAGCGTCAGGTGACAGGAAGTTGTGGAGAGCTATGATCGCCTATGTCCTGAGGGGACACGGCACATAAGTAAAGAAGAAAAGAAACCCTTTGTAGGTTATTTATTTGCAAGTGAATATTGCATCAACATTTTTTGAGAATGACAATAATTTTTTTCGAAATACAAGTCCTACTATTTAGCCCATAGCTGGGGGGAATAGAGATGGATTCATACCTTTCTTAATGGTATTTGCGCGTAAGTGAATGTAACGAACCCGACTGGAATTTGAACTCGGCACTCTGATTTATCATTCAGTGTCTGACACAAGGCTTATATACAAGAGACACTCGATGAATATCGAACTCCTTATATAATAGTAACTGCTAACTTGCTAACGGCGTGCGCCCGATAAAAAAAAAAGAGAGGAGAAAAGTGTGTCTGCGAAAGAGAAAGTGAAAGCGATAGACAAAGAGAGAGAGAGAGAGAGAGAGAGAGGAGTGGAAAGAGAGAATAAATTTAAGGGTAAGTGATATAGAAAGGCAAGTAAAAGAGGAGAGTTGACAACAGTAAAAAAAAAAAAAATGGGCTGTCCTAATTCAGAGTCCAATGAAATCCGCTATTTATAACCTAGTTTTCTATTATTGTTATTTTCCTTTCTTTTTTACTTCACGGATCATTAGATGTTGTACTCTATGTCCACTGCAACAGATGTTGGCATCAGCCTTCAGCTTTTGTTTCAGTGAATTAGTTACTTGTGTCTTTCTACATTTTATTCTGGTTATTTTTTTTATTCTTGCTAACGTATGGAACAGTCACAAAAAAAAAAAAAACTTAAATTTAAAAATCAAAATTGTTTTTAATAAGAATAAAACGATTTGGTTGGGAAAAAAAAAATCCGAAATCGTTATTTTCTTTCATGACAAAATGGGCGCCAATCGGCAAACGCAAGAAACTGTTTGGTTAAGGAGGAAGTTAATTTACTCTTGTGTTCAAGATAAGAATCTAATCCCTTGTTCTATTCTGAATTGATATACGGACAGTCGATGTCTTAGTCAAGCAGACGTTATTCAAAGCACTCTAAATTTAACACATTGTCGACTCAATAGAAAATCTTCAATCAGTCTTGGTTCAATGGCCGTGCCTCTTTATTAATCAAAAGTGCATTGATAAACATAAACTATAACAGTATAACTATTAAAAAATGGTGGCATATATATATATATATATATATATATATATATATATATATATATATATATATATATGTAAAAGTGAACATTGAGAGGCGACAGGCTGTTACATGCTAGATGCGTCTAGCATGAAACAGCCTGTCGCCTCTCAGCGTTGACTTCAATGTTCACTTTTTATATTTACTCACGCTCTATGTCTTATATTGAGCACTTTATCCCATTAATATAGCACACCTTAAGAGTATATTTCTTCATATATATATATATATATATATATATATATATATATATATATATATATATACTGCGTGCCAAATTATTATCTAGATAAATTTTTTCTAATATTTCAAAAACCGTCCAATCAATTCACACAAAATTTTCACACAATGTTAGCAACACTGATCTGCGCAATTACTGAAACTTTCGTACTGATCTGCGCAATGTAAACAAACTGCCCATGCCTTAAAGAAATACAAAACATGAATACAGCCTACAATGTACGAAGGGCTTTTTCTATATAAAATATGAGTGATTTTTTTTTCAAAATTGCTCAGTGGAAAATATTATGATGGCATTTCTGACCTACGGTTTCTGGTCGAGACCCGGAAAGAAATGAATAGACAGCAACAATGAAATAAAATAAAATAATAACAATAAACGTGAATAATATAAACTGCACTTTAGATTCTCTGGCATTCCTACTGTTCCTTGCACACACACATACTCTCTCTCTCTCTCTCTCTATATATATATATATATATATATATATATATAAAAGGTATTAATGGATGTTTTGTAATCCGACATATTTTTATTACTTCCGACTTTTTAGCGGATGCCATATATATATATATATATATATATATAGAGAGAGAGAGAGAGAGAGTATATGTATATATATATATATATATATATATATATATATATCTATATATCTGAGGTATGTGTATATATATATATATATATATATATATATATATATATATATATATATATATATATATATATATATATATGAGGTATTAATAGATGTTTTGTAATCCGACATATTTTATTACTTCCGACCTTTATTTTTAGCGGATGCCATATATATATATATATATATATATATATATACATTATGAAATAGACAAAGTCCGACAATTATTTTAAGACATTTTTATGTTTAACATTCGTTTTTATAGATACAAATATTTAAGTAAATGTTCTGATTATAATAAACAGTATTAAACAACATTTACCGGTCTGAATATCCGAGATATTTTCACTGAAAATTTTCGTCCTCTAAATGACGGTTCCGTATAGGATACAGGTTCGAATCCTGTCGTAGGGCGAATATTTTCAGTGAAGATTTCTCGGACATTCAGGCCGGTAAATGAGGTTTATTATAAACAGAGCATTTACTTAAATATTTGTATCTATAAAAAAGAATGTTAAACATAAAATGTCTTTATGTTTATATATTATTTTCAGATAGGAATAAAATGAATAAAAAGTCAAGAGGGAAAATATTCCTAGCCGATATCTTGCGATATTTTGAATTATGGCACTTTGTGTCCTCCACATATCTTGTCTGACCTTTCAACCACCTGATGAATATCCATAAACGTTCTCAAATTCAAATGCCTTGATAAACCAGTGACATCCTTGCTCTTCTATAAAAATACGTGCAACGAAATACATTCTTAGATTTCTCTTTATAAAGTTTCTCAGAGGACGAAATGCGTCGCTTAAGTTTTTCCTCTTGTCTTTTTTTATTCACACACACACACACACACACACACACACACACACACACACACATATATATATATATATATATATATATATATATATATATTGTCATCCACATCAGTGTATATATATATATTTATCTATCTCTCTCTCTCTATATATATATATGTATATATATTCTCGTTTTCCTAGTTGATGTTTGTAGGTGTTTTTTTGTTTAATATGATAAGGGCTTCTCTTATTTTAAACGTGTTTTTAAACGTGTTTTTGTTGCAATTAGGACGTGTATTTCTATTTTTGCCGAATACTTTGTCTTTTTCATATGCTATGCAGACATATTAACAAATAAATACCTACATTTTCATATAAAATCAGTCTACACTTGTATATATATATATATATATATATATATATATATATATTGTTTTCAGGAAATTATGAAATAAATTTACGATAAAGTTTCTTATAGAGTCTATATAATTCTGCGGAAGATAAACAAATGAACATTCACTATTTTATTTATCCTTATGTGCACTTCTATACAGTTGGATAACATTGATAGACAAGAACACCTGCACACACACCCAATCCCTGATGCACGCATACATACATATACCCTGCTGAAATGATCTTGAATACGCTGATAGAAGGGGTAAGACCTGTCTCTTTTGTGAAGGGCTACTTTCCTTTAGTATAAATATGCTCAATCTTTACATATTGACTTAGGTATAAACCTAACGAATGTTTACTTATAGTCTCAAGTATAAACTTGTCGAATTTTTAACTGTTGATTCAAATACAAATCCTACTACATATTCAACTACAAATGATACAAATCCTACTAATATTTACCTATAGACTTGAGTATAATAAGATAAAAAAGTACACAACTCCAAAAGGGTAGACATGACGTAATATTACCCAAGCCAAACTAGACTGATTGATTAGTTCATTTTTTACGGTTTATCAACCTTTTGCAGGTTATTTAAAGCCAGAAAATACTTTTTAAATTGTAACAAATGTTTTTTGGGGATATGATAACGGTTTTAGTGATACCGGTCTTACTAATTAACCCATAACTGTGAGTGAGAAGAGGTGGATTGCACCTAAGTGAATATAACGAACCCGACTGAAATTGAACTCGGCTTTTCGATTAACAATTCTGAGCCATTATCCATTACACCATCAGCACATCCAAGTTTACAGTACCTGGTATTCCCAAGTGGTCACCCATCTAGGCTCGACATTGCTTAACTTCGGTGATCGTACGGGAAGCGATGTTTCAACGTGATATGGTCGTAAACCGCAAGCTAAACTAGGCATACATATACGTACATTTAACCACGCATACACACACACATATACACACGTACACATACATATATGTATAAATACACATACATAATCATCCATACGTACAAACCTACAAACGTATATACACGCATTCATACACATGCTTCTCTAGACACATAAACACTTATAGGGACACGCAAGTCTCCATTAACACCGTCGTGTTCACAACATGCCATCACTAACAAACTAGAATTTCACTGATGTTGGTTTGGGTTCATTCTAAACTATTTTTTCGTGTAAAATTTTCCGACTTTCACAGAAGCGTCTTACCCTTTTTGTCTTTCATTCTTCGCTCTCTTTATCTCTCTACCTCAGGGGGAACCCATACATACGGCCCATCGCTAAAGATGCTGGAAAAATGGTCGTTTCTCTGTACTGCTCCAATAAGTAACTGATTCCTTCTGCTATCCTCTATCATTACAAGAGTCAGGGTCCAGCCTAAAATGGTGTATTGTTGCCATATTTGAGCAGGAGGTACCCAGTCCTCAATTTCTTGTTTCGATAGCGTTCAAAAACGTCTCCGCTTCCTTTTCTACCTTGCAACCCCTCTCTCTCTCATAGACAGGATGTGGCTAGCCTCTCACTACACTTATATATTTTTGTATCACGACGTTACGGTGGAGGTATTATCCAGTCCTTACTCACATGTCTCTCGCATAATGAAAAGGATAGAAAGTGTGAAATTAGATGCAAAAGGAAGAAAGAGAGAAAGAATGTGAGAGAAAGTGATAACTATAGAGGGAGGATGAAAAGAAACCGAAAGAGTGATAATTATAGAGGAAGGAGAAAAAGAGAGAGAAAGAGTGATAATTATAGAAGAAGAAGAAGAAGAAGAAGAGCGAAAGACTGATAATTATAGAGGAAGGATAAACAGAGTGAGAAAGAGTGATAATTACAGAGAAAAGGGAAAGAGAGAGAGAGAGAGAGAGAGAAAGAGAGAGAGAGAAAGAGAGAGAGAGAGAGTGATAATTATAGAGAAAGGATAAAAAGAGAGCGAAAGAGTAATTATTATAGAGGAAGGATAAAAAGAGAGAGAAAGAGTGATAATTGTAGAAGAAGAAGAAAAAAGAGCGAAAGAGTGATAATTATAGAGGAAGGATAAAAAGAGAGTGAAAGAGTAATTATTATACAGGAAGGAGAAAAAGAGAGAAACAATGATAATTATAGAGGATAAAAAGGTTAGTAAAGAAGGGAGAAAGAGAAGCTCAGATAAAAGAGAAGGAGTAAAAGAATCAGAAAAAAAGGAACCGAGAGAGAAATATTTTGATAAAAGAGAACAATTAGAAAAAGAGACTGAAAAAATTAATAAAAAGGATAGTTAATAAAAAGACAGGAAAAGATATTGTAATGGTAATATTAGCCATTTCCTTATAAGGAAACATTCGATATTCATTGACCGACCAGATCTATTATTCTCAATCGGAAATCTTTCTCTTAAAACTTTTTTTTAGGAAAATACGTTTCCAGGAGCTGTTATCGCTCTTTCTAGTATTGATGTGTTTTCCTTCCTAACATTTTTTGAAGTATTGCGGAGCGTCAACATCTTGATCATATCTTTATTCATTTTTATTATGTCATACTTATTTTAGCTGTTGTTGGTAGTCCTCAATTTCTTTGTTTGGGATGCTATAGCACCAGTCCACGAGTTTCGAAGAAAAATGGCCTTCGCCAAGATCTACAGGCTTCACTCGTTCAAAGCCATTTTTAACTATTGATCTTAGAAAGTGGTTGTGTACAGCTGAGAGTTTAGATATTTCTGAGCGGGTTTGGTGCCATGCATGACATCCATATGAAAGTCTCGATTTGACGAGGCTATTTAAGAACATGACTCGAGTTTTCAGGTTGATGTTTTGGTTTGGTAGCAATTAAATGAGATGAGAAAACTGACAGAAAGAGGAAAAAGAAGGTGGAAGAAAAGTAGTAATTGAGCGATTAAAAAATTGAGAGAGAAAAAACAAAGGACAATGAAGAAGAGGGGAAGATAAGGAGGCAGAAAATTAGAGAGGGTGAAAGAAAAATAACTGAAAATCAGAGAGAAAAAAAGAAAGGCAAATGTGTAAGTGAAAAAGAGCAGCGTGATGAGAAAGAAGTGAGAAAAAAGTTGCTCTCGTAGGTGAAAAAAAAAAGCGGTAATCGAAGGAGGCGGTAATAATGGAAGAAACCGACAAAAACAAGACTACAAATCGATATTAAGTGACTGAGAAATAATATAACATAGGTGTCGACTCTTCACATCAGGAAAGATTCCATTAATTTCTCAAGCATCGATAGAAACTTTACCTATCTCCCAAAAAATCAATCATCACAACATCAAACTCAGTAACAACAAAAAGCAAAAACAACGAGCAGAAAGTAACCCTCTCTCTTCACACACACACACACACACACACACACACACACATATATATATATATATATATATATATATATATATATATATATATATATATATATATATTAATTAAATAATTAAGAAAGAGACAAACTTAAGGTTCCATGTCTATAATTTATTTCCCCAGAAAAAATATTTTTCCTGGTTCATCAGGTCACATCTCTAGTTACAAAAAGCTTTTTGTAACTTGAAATGTGACCTGATTTAATTAATATTTACTGTGGTGTTACACTGAGCGCTCTGGATTATATCTTCTTTGGAATTATCCACACTGATTACCAAACCCTTCATTACGTTACTCTCTCTCTCTCTCTCTCTCTCTCTCTCTCTCTCTCTCTATATATATATATATATATATATATATATATATATATATGTTATGTATGTATGTATGTATATATATGTGTGTGTGTGCTATTATTATGTGTGGGCTTATAAAAGCTGCTTGCCTAAAAGCATTATTCTCAGAAAGACATTTCACACACACACACACACACACACACACACACACACACACACACACACACACACACACACACACATCTATCTATCTATCTATCTATCTATCTATCCGATGCGATGAGAAGACCTACTCAACGTACTACTATCCCCTATTTCCACCTTTCCTAATCTACCTCTCACTCTTAGGGTGCTTGTGAGATGATGTGCCTAAACTTTTGACTGGTGTTTATCAGCAACAAAACATCTCCATAGACCAGTCAACATTTAACACCACATCCATTCTTCACCAAACTGCTGTCAACAAACACTATTGTTTCACTCCATCACCTTTTTTGCCTTATATGTATTTTTCTTCTCAAACAAATGGAAAAAGGAAGTGACGTTTCACATACGGCTTGCCTACAAGCAGGATTCTTCGTAACCATTTTCGATTCTCACACGTCGAAGTGCAGTTGAAATGCACTGAAACGAAGTTGCATCTTTGTAGTGGGTCTTTGATAAAATTATAATATATATATAATATATATATATATATATATATATATATATATATATATATATATATATATATGTCTGTGTATCCCTTATATATGTATTGTTTGATCTCATTTTTCTTAACATCTTTTCATAACAAATGTCAGGTCATTTGAATGTTTGTCTTACATGGACATCGTTTTACCGATGAGACCCCCTCCTCTCCATCTCTACGTCGCGAACTGTTCTGGTAACGTTAAGATAAATAGTAAGGCTTCTGATTCGCCTGGTCTACCGCCGATGTATTAATGGCCATCGCTAAATTTCTCTATCAAGCTTTAGATAAGAACTGCAAAGCTCGGCCTGTGGCCCTAGATATCTCAAAAGGTTTGGCATGCTGATCTTCTTCACAAGATCAAGGGACGGATATTTGGCTTAATCCAATCTTTTGTAATAAATCATGTAACGAAAGTCGTGTTGAACGGATTTCTAGATCATTTTATATCACTGTGGAAAGTGGGAATGGCGAGCCGTGATCAAATGTCGACCTTGCCTGTTGCTTTTACTTTCGAACTAATGTCCTTGGGAAAGTCACGAATCTATCTCTTTCACCACGCTATTGAGACACGACTTTTTAGCTTTGTTTGGATGCCAGTCTAAGCAAGGAATAAATCTGAATTAAAATCGTGGTGAAGGTTATTGGAAAAGCCCTCTACTATCTAACCCATGAGGCCATGGCAAATTACAGAAAATAAAGAAAATTTTTTTCTCATAAATGGGACGTGAAACTCTCCAAAATCATTGATAATTAAGTCATAAATAATTTATGTTTTCTTTTATGAAATTCATTCTTCAAACAGTAAAGTACAATTACATTTTATTCAATGATATATTACTTGCAATGATTTATTGCCATTTACCATCATTTTCCCCACCAAAACGTTTTGCAGCGATCGAAAAAGGTGAATAATCTCTTGCTGCAAGGTCAGGGAATATGTCGGGTGAGGTGGCACACAGTTCCAAAATTCTTTTCCGAGTCATTCTCATTAGTCTTTCTTGCAATGTCGTGGATTAAAGGAAAAACTTGTTTTTCTTTTAATCTACGGTGTACGCTACCATCGCCGTGCAAAAACTATGTTAGTGTACTCCAAATTTATTTTTAACTGCCATTTATGTTTAATAGTTAGTATGATACATCCGTCATTACAATTGTTTCCCAAAACGGAAATTTATTATGAATGATCCTAATAGTAAATGTCACCAGCGACAGAGATTAAACTACATTTTATAGTTAGTGAATCAGGGAAATGAGCGTAGAAAATGTAGAAAAAACAGGCAAAATTGGGTAGGGATGGTGATCCAATGAAAAATCTTTAATTTTATCTTATAGGCATAAGAAACAGAAAACAAAAAAGCAAGTCATTGGAATATTGAAATTCAAACTGATTCACCATTTGAGGCCAGTATTCGAAACTAGAATCTGCAATCAAACCAATGAACAGCTTAAAGATACTGGATGGTACCGTTCTAGCAGACCTCAGTTAAAGTGAAAGAACATAAAAACTTGAATATATTTAGGCGTTTACAGAAAACTGAAAAAAACACCTTATAGACTATAAAATGAATAATTTTAATCTCTTTTAAGTGACTTGCAAACATGGTAGAATAGAAAAAAAAAACAATAATTGACTGAAATAACTCGAACAATATTAAAATCAACAAAAAAAATACGACTAAGGAAATAATTATCAATATTTAAGTTCAATGTCAATCATTATCTTCTGCCTTCTTAATTCTTGATGTTTTCTCGTGCTTTCATCTTAATAGTTTTCTTTTCCTCATAGTCTCTACATCCGACAATAAGACCTCTGACCGGGACATTGGAAGTTTTAAGGAGCGTGGAACCATCTATTATTTGCTGTCGTCCAACTTGACCCGGGGTGGTAGCACCTGTTAGGGTCCAAGCTATGGGAAAATAGTGAACAAAAACAAAATATTATGAAAGTATAAAATTATATTTTATAGAAAAATTACCAGCAGTACATTTTTATAGAAAAATCACCAACAACACCTATTGATAGTAAAATGACCAACAATACATTTTATCTGTAGTTGAAGGCATACAATTACGTCCAAAAATATTTAGATTGCAGCATTAAATAACCCATAGAGGTTGATATGCTGCCAAACAAAATCAACCAAACTTATAGTCTCTAACACTCCAACGCTCTAAGAAGTCATCTCTTCTCTCCCTAGCTATGAGTTATATAACAGGACAGGCTGCGTTCTTTAGCATTGGTTGACGATTAGCCTGGAAGAATGACAAATCTGAATTAAAAACCGGTTGGGTATGAGGCTAGCAATTTCATTCAAGAACCACAGCAGAAACGCCTGATGTTTTTGAGAGTTGAGATCCAAGTGGTGCCCAATGGCGTCTACGGGATTTCAGTGTGTGTGTGTTTTCTGTTCTGATCTTGTTGCAATAAAAGGCAAATCCGTTTGACTATAGTTACAACAAATAGTAAGAATTAAGTGTCAGTAACAGTAGTGATGACCGTATTGGAGAAAAAAAACAACAAAAAACAAAACAAAAACTAACTCTTGATGTTTAGGATGTCAATATAGATTGTTATAATAATACATACGCTAGCTTTGTTTGACTACCATGGAAATTATAATGGTATTATCATTATCAGAAACAAAATATTGAATTGATCACAGATACGGCTGCTGGTAGCAATGGAGTTGTCGTGGCTCAGTGAATTAACACGTTGGTTTTCAAAGCACGTTCCCCAGGCATACTTGTCTGAGAAGCAAAATGGATTCATTGCAACAGCTTTATATCCTAAATATCCTTAAAAAGGTTTAGTTTGATTGTTGTTTGATCTTTAATTTATAAGTTATGAATTTGATGTTTCGTAATTTGTTCTGTTACGAAGTGTATATATATATTAGGTTAATGCAAAAATAATGACGTAATAATGTCGTTTTTGACGTACTTTTCACGTTAAAAACGACATTCTTTCTAAAATATATATATATATATATATATATATATATATATATATATATATATATAGTTAGATTGATGTTGTTTAGGACCCTGGGTTTCACGCCCTTACGATTGTTTGACGATTGCGAGGGCGTGAAACAAAGGGACACAATGATAGCTCTATCACTGATATTGAGCGCTTTCCAATAATTACCGCGCATATATAATATATAAATAATATATATAAAAATTTATATATATATATATATATATATATATATATATATATATATATATATATATATATATATATATTGCGGCGGCTAGATGCGCAATACTTATCTATATATCCATGTTTCAACAAGGGTGGATCAGTAAGCCCGTAGCCTGGCACAATCATCAGCTAATGTGGATCTGAAATTTTCACTGTATACTGTTCGATTCAAGTGATTCATGGAGGATCGTTACATTAAATGCATTGACAAGGAAGGGGGTAATATTGAAAATAAATGCATACATGGAATAAATCCTATTTTCATCATTAGGTTAAGGATCTATCTATCTATCTATCTATCTATCTATCTATCTATCTATCTATCTATCTCTCTCTCTCTCTCTATCTCTCTCTCTCTCTCTCTCTCTCTCTCTCTCTATATATATATATATATATATATATATATATTTGATTTAAATTTACATAAACTGTTTGTATATTCCAAATACCTACTTGATTAATATGACTTATCATGAGCAACTTAAATAATATTGATACATATTATCATACTAAAATTGACATAATAATAAAAATACTAAATAACAATCGGTAACCATTGGTTACTGCATTTTGTCTAAAATG